ACTAGCATTAAAAACCTAACTGCATAAATCTATTTTTACAGCTAAACCTTTAAACTAAAACATGTAATATTATAGATCTAGTACATAGAGAATTTCACAAGTATTCGAAAAAGTCCACATTTGTTATTTTAGGATTTTTATACTAATTAATAAGGATTTTCAAAGTGGAGCATTCAAATCTGTAAAAACGAGAGAAAAAGGGATTGAAATCTTGCATCGGAGTCCCTGCAGAAAACTTAATTAAACTACAGCGAAGAGGTCCTCAGGAGCACTATTCAAATGAGTCATGGATTCGCGGAAAGGCCCTTTCGTTTCTTCTAATTGTTGTACGCAGCCCCTTACGCGAATTAGAGCAGGGGAGACCGTCGGAGCTCGCGGCTCCGGCCGTTGGGGTCCATGCCGGCGTCGGGGAAGTGGTGGTGGAACACCAGGGAGCCGACGCACACGCGTGGGGCTGCTCAACTTGGCCCGAGGCAGCCCATAGTGGCCTAGCCACGGAGACAAGTGGCTGCTGCGGCTGTTGCTCCGGCGGCGGTGCTTCCCGGCGTCTTGCTGACCAGAGGAAGGCGTGGGAAGGCGCTCGTAGCTTGCCCGCCGCTGGGCGCGGCTGCAGGAGGCTTCAGGAGAAGGAGTGGCGGCGGCAAGGGAGTTCGGCCACGGCGGCCATGGCTGCCGTGCGCTGGCACGTGCGCCGGCGCGCGGTCGGAGCGAGAGCAGCGATGGGAAGCGTAGAGGGAGTGAGCGGGAGTGGAGGGGGAGCTTCTGGCGTCCACCAAGGAGAGCGCAGGGGCACGGTGCACGCGGCATGGAGGTGGAACGCTGCTCGTGCATGGCTGCCACGCACGGACCACGCGTCACTCCTTTGAGGCATTCCACCGAGCGGCTAGCAGGTGACGGAGTGGGCTGGTTGGATCGCGTTATTGGGCTTGTTCTGGTCCGAACTAAGTCATGGGCCCTTAAGCAAGTTTGTTGTCCACATGATGACCTACAAATTTCATTAACAGACCACGACCATTTGAGCAATGGATTAGCAGTTAATTAGGCTCCAAAGTGATAGTGTCAGCGTGTTGATAACAGTCACGGGAGCTCGCCTTTGGAGGTCAAAACTCGGTCAAACTCAGTGCAACTTTTTGTATGCTCTTCTCCATACTATAACCTTCAACTTTTATTTTTTGACCAACTCAAGTTGCTTAGCAAAATTTGGAGAACGCAGAATGCCAACGTCATTGCTTAGCGAAACTGACTTAGAATAATTCTAAGTGTTGAAGACTGCAGCAAAATCAATCTTGTGCCCTATGTTTGTTAAGCTTAGAGATAGATTTAGACTTAGGTCCTTCAATAAAGTTTGTAGTACACAAACTATACTACAACTTTTATTTAAGGTCAAACCTTGTATCTTGAATATAAACCATTCTTTTACTTTGGTCAAAGCAGCATCTCGTTAACCCTAGAATTAGAGTTTTCAACCAATTGAGGCCTTTTCTTGACATGTGCTCAACACAAACCCTTCATGACTTTTGTTGTAGAGTTCAATTAGAGTCATTTAGGCAAGGTAGCAAGGTTTGGTTGATGGCCTATAATTCCCTTCACTTACTAGCGCAATTCAAGCAAGAATGTAACTCATCATTTCATGCGACTTCTTGATTCCGAACTTCATGAAACTTTTCCACGGGTCTAGATGGATGCATGTGGATGTAATGTACATGGAATAAGCATGTTTAACATTACTCTTGCATAATCTTAACAAGGGTCCATATGTAAGCAAATGCGCGTGGCCTAAGTTTAAGTTGGAGGTCCATCATGTAGATTTGATCTTGACACCTTGATTACCACTTGACATGTCATGTTTGAGCTCAAACCCATTGCTTAACTGGTGACAAACACCTGGGGTGTTACAGACTCTGCCTCGCCCGATGTCTGGGGATAGACTCCGCCTCGCCCGACGTCTGGGGATAGACTCTGCCTCGCCCGACGTCTAGGGGCAGACTCCGCCTCGCCCAACATCTATGCGCTACTCCTTCATAACTACTCATGCAGATAAGGCAGAGCACTCAAGTCAACCGCAATACCGATGACCATACCCTGCATGTCTGCAGGAAAGTACCATCAGGATATGACCAGACGGGCGCTTTAAGCCCTTCCACGCATGTCAAAGCCCAAACTATGTTGTGGGCACCAACATTTGTCCTACAGTGTTATGGGTGCCGGCATTTGCCCTCAGACACGAATCCTGACGAAAACATACGACAACCACTACGGTTCAGGAGGAAACTCATGTCATCTACAGTAACGAACGTGGGGCCTCTACCGTAGGGTCACGGTTCGGCGCCCCGGTGTGGCGCGCCACCCGCCAGGACAGGATGGGACGTGACCACATGCTGAACGAAGCCAGAGCACGACCCTATCAGGATTAGCGAACATGCTTCCCTGGCACCGTCTGCCATGTCAGCGGGGCTCGCTCAGAGGAAAAAGAAGACCCAACACCTTCGAATGACCTTCTTTGCCTCTGGTTTTTCTTCTTTCTCCCATCTGTAAGCCCTTCTCCCCCTTAGTCTATAAAAGGGAAGGCAGGGCACCCCACTAAGGGATGGATCAATTCAACAGACCACGCAGCACATAACATACAACTGAGCAACAACCGAGCTCTCAGCGTCCTTTCACCCTTTCCATCAGAGACTTGGGACATGTCCCTCTCTCGACCGTTTGTACCCTCTACTACGAACCTTCAGTGCTAATAACACGAGCAACAGCAAACTGGACGTAGGGACGTTCTACCCGAACCAGTATAAACCTTGTGTCTTTTAGCACGCCATCCGGGCCCAACGCGCAATAAATACAAATTTACTAGTTGATGTTTACTCGAAACACCGATAGGATTCTAGCCTACTACTTATTCTTTCTCACGTCCTTCCACCTCTAGATTGGACGATTGATACGCGCGCGTATATTTCCGCATGATTGAGTTGATATTTCCAAGTGTAGAAAGGTTGGGAGTTGAGATAGGGAGTTACTGCAGAGTAGTTTTTTTTAATCTTATAAAAAATCAAGATTTGGAGTGGGTTTTGGAAACTCTTGGAGATGCTCAATCTTGATTTTGGTGCAAGATTGGAAAATAATGCTCTCCAATAATTTCTTATCTCAACTCCTAACCTTTCTGCACTTGAAAAAATCGATCCAATCACGCAGAAATATACATGCGCGTATCAATGAGCCAATCCGGAGGTGGAAGGAATTTGGGAAGATTAAGAAGTACAGGGTTACCAATACATATGTGAAGAAAATATAAAAGTCTTTGAGTGTTTTGGAAATAATTCAGGATTTTTGATGCAAAATTGTTTTTTTATTTTTTAGGAGTGATATTAGCCACCTTAAAAAATCATTGATTTATAAATTATTTTTGTGAACTATTGGAGATGTTGTAAGTATTGTTCTTCAAAACTTCATGTTTACCTTTGATTGCTAGCCAAAATATGTTTGGTTATGCTAAATTGTACATCAGAATCAAACTTAGGCATTCATCGTACACTCTTCTTTCATGGATCTTCGCACCCGTCCTCATATAATTGGTCTTCAAATAAAAACTCGTTTCCCTAAGCGCGTTCGCAATGGTGCTAGCTACGTAGTTAGCTTGCGTGGAGGTGAGAAACAAAAGCAAAGACTATTTTATATATTCTTATTTTTTATATACTATTGGACCCACATGTTTCTTTCTCAGATTCTTGGACTACGTGAAATAGAACAGTTATTTGTTCGTCGCTAGTGGCTACTCTCTCTTCTACTTTTTTCCTGTCCATGTCCTAACAGCTAACCAAATAGCTACTTGTTGGAGACGCCCTAAAGAGTACAACTAAATTTCTGTTGCAGAAAGACATGGGAGCTAAAAGAAAAATTAAAGGTCCGTTTGGATGTAGATATTGAGGGAGCTGGAATTAAATTGACTTCAATACCAAAGCAGCCATGGTATTGAAATGCATGCAATTCGTTGGCTTTTAGAATCTTAGAAAGTAGCTCAAATTCGATTTCTGTTTGGATGCAAAAGCAGGGAACTGAAATGTTAGGGAAGCTTGACCCCCATCCCAGCTCCACCACCGGAGGACGGAGCCACCAGTAGGCCGCGCCGTCATGGAAGTACGGAACCCTGATGGCATGTACCTAAGTTGCGGAAGTATGGAACTCAGATCTCGCGGCGGAGCTCCGATGGCAGCTTTGAGCCGCCGGCCACGGGGAAGACGAAGACGAGCTCGCGCCGCCGGCCACGGTGAAGACGGGCTCGCGCAGACGGCCACGGGGAAGACGGGCTCGCGCCACCGCCGGCCACGGGGAAGACGGGCTCGTGCAGACGGCCACGGGGAAGACGAGCTCGCGCCGCTGCCGGCCATGCGGAAGACGGGCTTGCGCCGCCGCTGGCAACGGGGAAGACGGGCTCGCGCCGCCGCCGGCCACGGGGATGACGGGCTCGCACAGATGGCCACGGAGAAGACGAGCTCACGCCGCCGCTGGCCATGGGGAAGACGGGCTCGCGCCGCCGCCGGCCACGGGAAGACAGGCTCGCGCCGCCGCCGGCGTCACGAGCGCTCGCGCCGCTGACCGCCCACCGGCCTCGCGCGCTTGGAGACATGTGTCGAGGTCCTCGAGGATGAGTTCAATTCCACCCAATACAGAGGGGTAGAGCTTCGTATTGGAGATGAGGGATCACAGTCTTGGTGAATACCGGTTGGCATTGGGGATGAGTACCGATTTCAAATTCTAAACCATCCAAACAGCTATATTCAGATATAGCCAATGCCAATTCCAATTCCAAGCCCTGAATATCTACGTCCAAACAGGTTGTAAGACTTTACATAACTTCGGTTACATTTCAGTTTTAACTGTACTAATAAATTACATTCATGTTCCTCATAAATTGGCGGTTTCGTCATCAATGCAATAAACAGCCTTGAGTTTTCTTTTACCCCACCATTTCAGTTCAGCATCCAAATTTGGCTCTCTTTCCTTTACCTATGGCGACATCATGTCCGACGCTCCCATTTGATGAAGCACGGTGGATCATCCGAATTCGCCGGATCTTCGATGAGGAGATCGAGGTCAGTGAGGATCAGCCCATCTGCGTGTTTGATGTCCCCAAGCCTCTGCTGAGAACGAAACCTGAAGCTTACATCCCTCAGCTGGTGGCCCTTGGGCCTTGGCCCATACCACCATTGCCGCGAAGAACTCTGCGACATGGAGATGTACAACTCTCGGCGGCAAAGCGAGCCCAAAGCCATCTCCCGGGCATGGACTTCCAACAGCTTGTTGACGTCTTCACGAGACTAGAGCATCTAGTTCGTGCTCACTATCACAGGTGAGGTGAGACACACTACACACATCGCTATCTTAATTTCGTTCATACTTGGAGAATTTCTGATCTTTCTTGTCTGTAGGCATCTGAACCTGAGCAACGAGGCACTAGGGTGGATGATGGCCATCGACGTGTCCTTCCTCCTCGAGTTCCTGCAGACTTTCAGCAAGAACAACGGTAACCAGCAGAGAGCGCTGCAGAGGATCCCCTCCAGGATGTCACATTTGGTAGACCCCTCTCGCAGGACATCCTCGCATAGCATGCTGCTCCGCGACATAGTCATGCTAGAGAACCAGGTCCCTCTCTTTCTGCTCCTGAAGGCGATCGAGTCCCGCTGCTTGACGGCGGCAGCGCAACCGCTGGCGCAATCAGTGCTGAGCTCCATGCTGGTTGGGTTCTTTCAGGAGGTCTCCACGTTCAGAGGGATTGGCCGTCCATGCACCGACGCCAATCGGCATGTCCACTTGCTTGACATCCTCTACTCAAACATGGTGCCTAGATGTGCTGAAGAATCACATGGCACTACCGGAGAAGAAGGCGGAGACGAGTCATGCCATGATCACAGAAAGAGTACACTGAATTCAGTCATGGACTTGCTCGTCAGTCGTGGCTCGAAGATCGTGTCAGTGATAGCAGATTTCGTCCTGAGGGTCCTCCACTAAGTTGCACGGATACGGATACGCGTATCGGTATCGTAAGGATACGTGTCAGTGATAGCAGATTTCGTCCTGAGGGTCCTACACTAAGTTGCACGGATACGGATATGCGTATTGATATCGGAAGGATACGGATACACGGATACGGCAATTTTCTAAGAAACCCAATACGCGGATACGTTTTACTATTTTTTTAATAAATAGATAACAATGCATATGAAATTACAAAATAGATGTTCAAGTTCAACATAGAGACATTTAAGGTCTATTACACTCAGAATAACATGATAGCAGGTTCTAATATAGGAAATTAATAAAAGGTCTATTACACTCGTAGCAAACTAGCAATATAGTACTATAGTAGGATAGGATAGCATCAAGCCATCAACATCAAGTTTCTTCCTCGGCTTCCTCATTCTCCTCCACACTTTGAATATCAAGATCATCCAATCCAAATGATACAGCCTGCAACTCCGGCTCATCAATGGAGAGGTCAGCAACTTCCAGAAGACCTACACCATTAAGGGAATCAAAAGAATCTCCTCCAACATCACACATCCTTGTCTCTCCTGTCTTATATGCATCAGTTCTTCTTGACAAATGCCTCAGATTTGAGTGCACAAAGACCAAATCTTCAGTCCGCTCAGGAGTTAAGGCATTTCTCTTGACACTATGGATGAAGCTATATGTGCTCCAATTTCTTTCACAGCAAGAAGAGGAGGCCGGTTGGCTCAGCAATTTTATGGTCAAACTCATCAATAGAGGGACAGATTGTCCATGATTTGTCCACCAAGTCATTGGGGAAACAGCCCATCTATCATATATAGAATCAGGATCATTGAATTCTTCTGAACAACTAGAAAACCTTGAGTATTCTTTCTTTACTTGAGCCAACTCTTGCGGTATGCGAAAGAACTTCTTGAAGCAAGTCATCCTCATTTGTGATACCTCCTTATCCTTGTGGGGGGTAGTCGGCCAGCACCTTCTTCAAGCCACTTGTTGCTATAAAATCTACATTTGGCAATTTAGCATTACAATTTAGAACATGAGCAACTGAGCTGAATACTGTATAGTGTATAGTGTATAGTGTTACCTTGGATTGAGTGAATGAGCCAAACAATGCAGTGGATTATTGCCTTTTGTCCACCTAGCAATCAATATATCATGAATAACAGAGTAGAGGTCTGACTCCTCATTTGGTTCCTTCCCTTCATACAGATATATCTCTTTCTTCACTTTCTCGATCATTGAATCCCACATCTCATAGATTAAGTGAAGACACGAGGTGTCGGTGTCCGCAAAACGTATCATATCATAGATAGGAGTAGTGATCCTAAGAATGTAATCTACATTGCCCCACCAGACATCACTTAGTATTTTTTCCTTTACATGTTGGGCAGTTGAAGCATCCTCTTTGTAGATGCTCCATTTGTCACTAATCACCATGTGTTGGAGAGCTGCTTTTACCTCAACAAACCGTTTTAGCATACACACAACCGATGCAAATCTTGTTTCAGCAATAGAAAGCAACTTCAAATGGCTGAACTCATTAAACATGGAAAGACGCATGCCATGATTCATTATGAAATTCTTGATCATAGTAGCCTCAACTTTAACATCGTTTATAAATTCTAGTTGTCCCCAAACATGCATATCCTCATCAGTAGGTGTCCTTGGCAGTTTAGGTTCACATATATTTTTCATAGCAAGGTTGAGAGTATGCACTATACAAGGTGTCCAAAATATGTGATCATATTCAGCTTCAATTAAAAGACCAGCACCTTTGCAGTTTGCAGCATTATCTGTGATGACTTGTACCACATTTTGTCGCCCTACTTCATCAATAATAGACCTCAACTTCAAAGCAATATATTCTTTTGACTTGTATTCTCCTTCACAATTGTCAGCCCTCAAAAACATTGGAGCTTTCTAAAAGCTTGACAATGAAGTTGATGATTGGCCTCCTCTGAGGATCTGACCAACCATCACTGCAGATTGTGACCCATTTCTCTGGCCATGTGCTCTTTGTACTCTCCAATAGATGCTCTATGTGCCTTCTTTCTTGCTTCAGGAGTGATTCCCTAGCCCTGTTATACCCAGGGATTGTGTAACCTTGCAAATTGCGGCTGCAAGCAAATGCAAAAGCTTCTCTAAAATATGGGTTTCTCAGAAAGTTGAAAGATACCCCTCCAGAATACATTGATCTAACAATTAAAGCATCTAAGTGCTTGCGGTCTTGCAATGCCCAAGATTTTTCCAATATAGAAGCAGGTCCTCTCTTATTCTTCTTGTTGTAATTGCCTGAAGAAGGACCTACAGGCAAAGCAACGGTGCGTGTCTTTGCTCTTTCCACCAGCTCCTTGCACCTTTCCACTTCCCTCCTCATCTCACTCAGCATTTCATATGAAACCTTCGGACATTTGATAATCCCCTTCCCTGATTTCTGCAGCAAATGAGCTTCAACTCTAGTGTAGCTGCTGCTTTTTTCCAATGGACAATAGTTGCATCTCCAAAGAGCATTTCCTCCACCAGCTTTAGGCCTCTCTAGAATGGTGACATGATCCCACAGCGGAGCCTTGATATCAGTTGTTTCTCTGGACCCAGATCCCACACTACCACTAGCAGTAACACTAGCACTAGCTACACTACTCAAATTTGGAGATGCCATACTGGACAATGAACATTGGACAAAATAAAAAAGCTCTAATCAGTCATCAGGAAAGGGGTAATGGCCTTTGGCCTAATGGGGCAGGGCTCACTGCCTCACTGGCTCAACCGCTCAGCTCTAAATTGGATTGGGGAGGAAGAGGAAGTGAGCCAGTGAGGAACTCACCTAACAAGGGGGCTCCTTGTCGCCGGCGAGGGCGAGGGCGGAGGCGAGGTCGGACGCTGGTCGCCCGCTCGGACCGTCTTCTCCTGGAACGCGCTCGTCGGGGCGTACTCGTCCTGGAGCGCCGGCGAGGCCTTGCGGGTCCTGGAGCGCCGGCGAGGCGTCAGCGGCCCCAGGATCGGCGCGAGACGGGGGCGAGCTGGAGACGGCGCCCCACGAACGTGCTCGCGTCCGTCCTCAAGCCGTGCGTTGCGGAAGGGGATGGCCTCTGCGGGGGCGAGCTGCACGGGCTGGCGGTGAGGGCGGAGGCTGGTCGCCGGCGAGGTCGGAGGCGGACTGGCGGCTGCGTGAGGCGGAGACAAAGGCGGCTGCGCGTGGGAGAGACTGGGAGGCGGAGGCAGAGGCGGGCAGGCGGCTGCGCGTGGGGAGGTGGCTGTCGGCGTGAGGCCGAGGCAGAGGAGGCAAAGGTGACCTATTGGGCCTGCTGGGCCGTATCGGCTGGGCCGAGACGTATCCAATCGCCAGTTTCCGGCCCACTTAACATGGGATACGCGGATACGCCGCGGATACGTATCCGGGCCGTATCCCAAGCGTATCTGTATCGGATACGTATCCGATACGGGATACGGCCGTTCCCTGGCGTGTCCGTGCTTCTGAGGTCCTACACTCCTACTCAAGTTCATAGCCAGCCTTCCTTGTCTCTCGGTGCTCGGAGAACCCATCGAGCAGCTGACGCAGCACGCGGCCGAGCCAAGCAGCGGCGCACCAGGTGTTCAGGACAAGAACACGTCGCCTCTGCTCGAAGAGATCGCGGTGCCATCCGTCGCCGAGCTAGCGTACACCGGTGTCAGGTTCTGCCCGACGGTCGGCGACCTCTCCATGGTCGACTTCTGCCCGGCCACCGCGACGCTGCACCTCCCGGTGATCGGCGTCGACGTCAACAGCGAGGTGGTGTTGCGGAACCTGGTGGCGTACGAGGCGGCGGCGGGCCTCGGGCCGCTCGTCCTGGCGCGCTACGTGGAGCTGATGAACGGGATCATCGACACCGAGGAGGACGCGCGGATGCTGAGGGAATGCGGCGTCGTGCTGAACCACCTCAAGAGCGACCGGGAGGTGGCCGAGCTGTGGAACGGCATGACGAGGTCCGTGAGGCTGACGAGGGTGCCCGCGCTGGACAGGGTCATCGACGACCTCAACAGGCACTACGGCAGCTGCTGGAAGGTGAGGGTCAGGACGTTCGTGAAGGCGCGCGTCCTTGGCTCCAGGGAGCTGCTCGCCTGTGTCGCCGTGCTCTTGCTCTTCCTTTTCGTTGGCCTCCAGGCGTTCTGCGTGCTTCGTGGCTGCGTCCCTGTCTCGTACGGGATGGCCAACAGAAAATTTGGCGTCTCATGACTCATGAGAGCTATCCAGGCAGATGACCATACCATTTCCACTAATGGAACTGCCTACCATAATCAGCTGTAGATAATGCACTTTGAATCCGCGGCTCCCATTCATGAACCACGTACTGATCCGAAGTTTTGTGTTTCCTTTTCTGCCACTTTGGCACCTACGGAGCATGTAACATGTAAAGATTTGGTGGGGTACTCGTTTGATGCTAGCTTCATATCATAACTTCGAAAGTTGAAACGCGCCTCACAACTTCAACGGTTTGCCAACTTACGTTAGGTTCTCTCGTCTTTTCTACTAAATTTTGAGGAAACATTTATAACTATTGGAATCACTCAAGGGTAGAGAATCAGATTCTTATATTTTCAACTCCGTCTATTCCAAATTATAAGTCGTTTGAGTTTTTTAGATAACAGTTTTTACTATATATCTAGACGTAATGTATATGTATATTTAAATGCGTAGCAAAAAAATATTGTACCAAAGGAAAAGCAAAAAAATGACTTGCAATTTGGAACGAAGTGTGCACTATATTTTGAGGAAACATTTATAACTATTGGATCAATTCACTCAAGGATAGCAATAAGAGGTGAAAAATGATTGTGGAATCTAAAAACAAATTTTATTACTTTCCTCTAAACATATAAAACATAAATCTTAAACTCTTATAAAGCAAAACCCCACTAGCCTAGTTTTCTCATTCCACAACCCTCCACGTCATCGTCTCCTCCTAGCCCACGCATCTATCTCCACCTCATGACACATAACAGAAATAGCTCATCGGGAATATCATTTGTCTTCGGTTTCCATTTCCACCTCTATTCTTAACCGATGGCACCAATAATTTATTCCTAGCACTTGGTGTCATTAACTCAAGCATGCTTTATGTAGAATCCTTTTCTACTCTACTGCTACATGCATGCAGCATGCACCGACAATTTATTTAATTTCCATCCCGCCTTTCTATTCTATTGCTACATTCATGCCGCATGACAATTCATGGTGCCTTTTCATGGTTTACGTTTGATCTTCACACTCTATCTATTACGCATTCAACATGCAATTCCACTCCTCCACTTCCTCCACTAACGCATGGCCATCTGCCATTATTTTCCACTATAATACTTCATTCAGATTCTCAGTCTATATATACAGTGCTATACACAGAAGGAAGGGGACAAACCACGGGCAAATGCTTAGAGCTTATGTTTCTTCTTCATGTTGGTTTCAGAGTTTTGAAGGTGTAAGATAGATAATTCTACTTTTGTGCTGAATGGTTCAATTTTTTCACTGTTGTTTCCCTGGACCAAAATTAGCACAAGGATAAGTACATTGCCCACACATGTTGCAGCATGTCAGGAAGATTATGTTAGATATGTTTGTAAGAGTTTTCAACAGTTAGTGTTTCTTCCACATCACTTTTCGTATCAATCCTGTTGGGTCATTATTTCATAGTTATAATTAGCTTAAGCCCTGGGGAATTATTTGACATTGATCTTCATGTATATGTACTACTTTGATGGATCAACTCACCTGTAATACTATAAGGCCCCATTTGGATCTGTGGGGGTACGATCCCGGATACCCACGGCAGACCACATGGGTTGCGCCCCCAGGGGCGGCCCAGACCACAAGATGAAGCCTTGCGGGGCACGACGCTGCTCGGCGTCTCCCGCAATACACCGGAAAGATATCCTGAAGATACTACGAGATCTGTTAGGATACGTATGATCCCATGATTCATGTAATCTATTATTATTTTCCGGTTATCTCCTAGATCTAACCGACTTGTAACAATGACCCCCGGACTATATAAGGCGGGCAGGGACTCCCTCCAAACTCACGCAATATCATACAATAGCCAATACAATCCAACAGACCACATGAGTAGGGTATTATGTCATACTGACGGCTTGAACCTATCTAACTCGTGTCTCTGTTGCCTTCTTGTTCTCGATTACACGCATCTCTGCCGATCAATCTACCTTCATGGGATACCCCTCGGAGGACTGCCGACGATATTCTATTGACAGTTGGCGCGCCAGGTAGGGGTGTGCGTACTGTTTCCATGTCGAACAAGATGGTACGTTTTGTAGGTTCTTCGTCCCTCCCACAGCCTAGCCAGATCTTCATGGTCAGATCGATCTCGTGGATCATCAATGCTGACGGAGTCGGAGAGCTCATCGAGCCGGTGCAGATCAATACTGCGCCGATCACCCCAACACATGCGACTGCAGATCCGATCTTGGAACCGCCTCTGAGGTCGCCTTCGTTGACAACTCGCCGCTTGCTTCCCCGCTACAAGAGGAGGCAAATCAACAATGACGATCTGATCGCATCCATCGATCAGGTTGGCCAGAAGCTCTCCGATTGCCTCTCCAACGTAGAATCGGCTCTAACCACTCTGGTTCAGCACCGACCACCCTCTGATCTAAATCTATCGGAGGCTGCCTGGGAAACTCCAGGGGTTATGGCCCTACCCTTCAGGCTCTCCGGTATCGCCGCTACCTACCAACATGTCCTAAGGGGCAAGTTTGCCGACCAGGTTGGAGATGTCCATTCTCTCACCGACCAGCTCCCGCCGGCAGTCAACATGCTACACATCGGTCGATGCCCCGGAGCATCCCTCCAAACCATCTTGGAAGAGAATCCAGACTCTGAGTCCCAGGGCTCTACGGAGACTGTCGCCGAAACCACCACCGAACAACTTCCTTTCCCTCCTTTCTATGGAGGCGCAATCTTCAACGTCAGCATCGACAGCCCTCCGCACGAAGGGGAAACCGAGGAGGACCGCGCCGCCCACGTCAACAGGAACGTCAACCATGCGCAGCGCCGAGCAAACGAGGCTGCCCTTGCGATGGCCGAGGCTCAGCTTGACTCACAAGGAAGGCCACGCCAACTCCAATGCAACCTCAACGATGAATTTGTCCGTGTTGACGGCCACGACGTCTACAGGACCCCAAGCGCCAACTTGGTCGTGGCCACCAACGAGCTCGCTCGGCTACCGCAGACACCGGAGGTCGCCAAGGTCACCGCCATGCTTAAAGCGGTGCACTGCCAGGTCAACGAGATCTGCCTTCATACTCCACAAGCTCAATTCGCCGATCAGCCGCGCCAAGATCTGATCGCCTCCCAAGTCGTTTCACAGACCAGCACCACGACGACAGACAACCCCTCTAGGGGGGAGCTAGGGGCAACCGCATCGAACACCCTCGCCAACATGACCAGGAGGTTGACCAGGACGTCCGAGCGCACCTCAACAATCTCCAAGACGCGCGACGACGTATCGACGAGCGCCGCTTCTATCGCCATGAAGAAGTACGCCGCCGTCAAGAGTAAGAGCAAGAGTTCGGTAACCCGGACTCAGCTCTCGAGCCGCTCAACTCTGACAACGCTGTAGATCACGGGGCCGACAATCCCGAAGGGCCCCCAGCATTTACGAGGGCACTTCGAACACTCTAGTGGTCCCGTGGTTTCAAAATCACTAGGGTCGAGCCCTACGAGGGACGGATGAACCCCACACAGTGGCTACAGGCTTACTCCACTGCTGTACGCACCGTCGGAGGAGATACTAGTGTCATGGTGAACTATCTTCCCATCATGCTCACACCAATCGCGATAAACTGGTTAACAAGCCTTGCCCCAGACTCCATCGGATCCTAGGAAGAGCTGAAGAAGGTCTTCACCGACAACTACATGGCTATGTGTACTTGGCCGGGCACCAAACATGATTTGAACCACATCTATCAGAAGTCATCCGAGCACCTCCGTAGCTACATCAGATGCTTTTCTGAGATGAGGAATTCTATTCCCAACATCACAGAAGTTGAGGTTATCATCGCCTTCGTTCGAGGGCTCCATCACCACGATCTCCGCTCCAAGTTCAACCGCAAGCCACCCATGGGGATTGGCGATATGATTACGACCGCCAACCAGTACGCCGACGCCAAAGAAGCCGAAGTGCGCTTCAACAAGGATGTGGGCACTCATCGCCCGGCTCACCACAGTGACGATCACCCTGACGACCGGCGCCACAGTGACCACCGCTATGATGATCGTAGTCACCATCAGGACAGTGGTCGTGATCGGCTAGAAGGATCCAAGTCTGGTCAATATCGCCGCCGCCGACCAGACCATATCATCGCCGCTATCGACGAACCTCGCGCCAAGCGCAACTATGACGAGCAATACAAGAAGATCCTCGATGGCCCGTGCCCTCTTCACAAGAACGCCAAGCATAAGATGAAGGACTACCTTGGCTTGGCTAAGGAGTTCCAGGCTAAAAAGCTGAACGACGACAACAACGACGGAGCTGGAGGCCGCTGACCACCTGGGGGCAGCAACAATGCCTTCTAGGATCACGACAAGGTGGTTGCCACCATCTTTGGGGGCCTCGCCTCCGTCGAGAGCAGAAGAGAGCGAAAGCTCACCGCCCGCTGGGTGCTCGCTGTCAACGCGGAAGACGCCATCGCCAACCATAACTATCGCCCCTAGTCCAAGGTCCCCATCACCTTTAGCAAGGCCGACCAATGGGCGGACATCCCTTACACAAGGTGTTTCCCCCTCGTCCTATATGCAACCATCCAAAAAGTACTTTTCAAAAAAGTGCTCGTCGATGGTGAGAGCGCTCTGAACCTCCTCTTCGCCGGAGCCCTAAAGGAGCTAGGCCTCGGGATAGGAGATCTCACACCCTCTGACTCCTCCTTCTAGGGTGTGGTACCTGGCAGGGCATCCAAACCGCTTGGAGAGATCACCCTACCAGTACAGTTCAGCATGGCTAGCAACTACCACGTCGAACACATCAACTTCTACGTCACCGACTTCAACACCGCCTACCACGCCATACTTGGTCGGCCAGCTCTAGCCAAGTTCATGGCCATACCGCACTACGCCTATCTGGTGCTAAAGATGCCTTCGCCTGCAGGAGTCCCAGCTCTGCGGGCCAACCTCTCCATCGCCTACGCCTACAAGACAGAGAGTCTTGCCCTCGTCAAAGCCACCAA